TGCCCTTTGTTCGTTGCTTCGCTTGGTGGTCTCTGTCGCCCTTAGGTGCAGTTCCACTCGTTGTCTGAACCGTTGCCATTCCTCTGGTACGTTACCTGTCGAGTTCGGGCCCTCGGGAGGCTTGACCACGTCCATGTTTCGGCTTCCTTCTTAGTTTATCGCTCTTTTCGCGGAACGAGTCACTTCTGACACCATGTATTGAGTTTGTCTTCTAAAGAAACTGGTTTATTGAGGTTGCCAGATTGCTCTTTACATCTGACTGAAACAGTACAATAACATAAGATCTGATACACGTACCACGAATGGTCTAGGTTGCGTCACAGAAACCACAAAAGTTTCCATCGTTCTGCCGTGTTTTATAATTTTAAACATTAAAATACTTTCAGTTTCTTTTTTGTAATGAAGTGTGGACATGCACACCTTTCATATTAAAGAAATAGGTTTAAACGAAGAATTATAAATACGCCAAAACAATAAACTTAGTCCAGACCAGTAAGATATCTCATACCAGTTACAGACGCTACTCAGTACTGCATCCAGTAGCTGTGTTCATAACCAGCAGGCTCACGCTATGAAGCTTCAGAGCACTCGGCTAAACTGATTCGGCGGCTAAGTTCAGCAGGAAATAGTAAGGGTGACTAAAACCACTGGACTCAAAGGGGCATTTACTTTGGAAAATATTTAGTGGCAGTGTTATTGAAGACCGGCTTTTCGCTCCATTTTCGATATAAAAAGAAATTGTTTTTCTTTGGTACACGTCATTCATTCAAACCACAAACTACTTCATTTTCAAGGGATAAGTAAGCACTTGACAAAAGCGCGTTTGTAATTTTTATGATTGTTGCAACATAACCACCCCATCTGGCATATCGTTCTCCATAAGCTTGTTTCCAGTACACTGAGCATACGAAACAACCCATCTGGTGATCTTCCCTGAGACGTAGTGAAGGGATGATGCCAGTGTTGTAGTCTGCTGTATCTAGCCAAACCTGGAATTTATTTCTAAAGCCTTGTACAGCCTTACCGTACCAGTCATGAGTCCTACAAAGAATCACGTCGTCCCGCTTAGTTGAGAGATTGACGGGCAGTTTAGTGCCTTCTATAGAGAAACTTATCCGTTGGGTTTCTCGCGTTTGTCCAGTCTATTAATAGGAGCTATTTACACTGCTTATGATAGGGACAGAAACAATTACATGCTGCGTCCCCCTTCATATCGGTCAGTTGAGACCGCTCAAAAAATGTTTAAAAGTAGCTGTGCAGAACGAACGTGTTCAAAAATTCCGTTGGTGCAATTCTTCATACTTAAACGACAATACTTTCAAACTACGTCAGAAAGGAAGATAAAATTGGACAGCTTGCTAACTTACAAGAGCATTCAATATGTTTTAAAAAAGCTACTTCTTTCTAAGATGGATTCATGACTGAAATTGTCTACCAGAATACATCGTCAGAGGAACTTTAATTTCAGCGTTTTCCACCTTTTTGTTCGATTTCTAACTTCTTCAGGGTTACAATATGTATTCTTATTTGCATCTCGTTTAAAACATTTCTTTATGTAAATATACTTTCGAAAAAAAAACTGGGTGCTTTCAAAAAATGTTTTTGCCTGCGTGTGAAAAACTGTATTGTATTACGAAACCCCACTAAAACGATGTCCCCTAGGCGATGTAGAAATAAATAAAGTGGCAAAGCTAATACTTGATTTTACGAGAGATTTCAAGTTAAGAAATATGGTGCATCTACGTTCCTGCAAAGCCCTTGGTAAAGAAAGTCAATGCAATATGCGGAAAAAGATTGGCGAATGTCAAAACTTACCAAATCTCTTGATAAAAAACAAAATCTGCATTGAAGCTTCTGTTTTACGGTCTATTCACACAATGCATCTTGTTGGCGAATCATGTGTCGCGAAACTAGGTTTCGGGAAACATATGAACCGTGTTGACGTGACCGAAAAGTGGTGCGCCTGCGAGATAGGATGCGTGTGCACCTCGTTTCTGGAGCAATATTTTCCTGGAACCTCAACAAAGCCTGTTGATCACGCGTCAAACTCCCCGTGTGAAAAGGCCGATTCCGCGAAATCTCGGTTTTCTCTAAACCATAACGCGTTGAAAAGATGCATCGTGCGATTAAGCCTTTAGAGTCATGGAGCAGACGGTTCTTCTACGCCCAGACATATCTTCCTCATCATTCGCCGAGCGCCTCTCTAGAATGCGGCAATTGACTTTACCAAGTGCTTTGTGGGAAAGTACATGCATTGGATTTTGTGGAGTGTATCACAGGGATAGGGTTAATCAGGCTTGTCTATAATGCGGGAGGGTGAAGGTTTCTCGCACCACTGCAATATTGGCGGCATTCGCGGTAGCTAATATAGTTACGTGGGGCGTCCTGCAAGCGCTATGGGCTAGCTTTGAAAGCCGGGAGCTGCTCGCACGCTCTTTTAAAACGCCAAAAATGTATAGCGATTGAAAGTAAAAATAAAAACAATCATTACGAAAAAGCAAAAGTGAATTACGCCGAAATTGTTGCTGATTTTCGACAACATGATTTAGCAACTTGCGCAAGGGTTTCAATTTAGAGAAGGATGGAATTTCCAACCTCGCAAGAGTCAGGACACGGCTGTGTTCAGAGAGCCAGTCTGTTCTTCCGGGCGTCGGCGGTTTCGGATGCAGCCACCAGAGCTTCTGTCGACCGCCGCCTACGGTTCGCATGATGATGTCGTCCAAGAGCCAATCTTTCCTCCCGGGTGCAGGCAGTTTGGAGCAAACGGCGTCGTCGCTGCCTCTGGCTCTTACGTTGTCGCGTACGTAGTGCCTACCGAGAAAATGAAACTATGTAACGTCCCGGTGCCATAGTACGATGAATGCATGCCAAAAGCGCCGCCTAATTGGAAACCGGCGGGAAGAGTCCTTCCATGGAGTCTTCCCGCAGGTTATCATCGCGTATCATCCCGGGGGGGGGGGGGGGGGGGGGGGGGCAACGCCAGCACCCCCAGTCCTCGGAAAGGGGGTGCAAGGCGTGTGTGTTGCCCCCCCCCCCGCCCCCCCCCTTTTCTGAAACAGCCACTAGTGGGCAGGGCAAACACTGGCCGGCGGCGCCCAAGGGATAGAAAGAGCACAACCCCCCCCCCCCCCCGGCCCTGGGGAGGGGAGGGGGGGGTTGGTGTTCCCCCCGCTCAAAACCAAGTTGGTATGCCACTGACTCTTTCCTTCTTACTTATTTATTTATTTATTTATTTTATTTATTTGTACATACTGCTGGCCCGTGGGGCCGTGGCAGGGAGGAACAAACACACACACACACACAAAAAAGAATATGACTCATACCTCCAACAGAGCTACGAACAATAAAGTAATTACAAGTTTAAATACAAAACGCGCCGAGAGCGCAAAATAGAAAACAAGAGCACTAAATGCACGTAAAAAGTGATAATAAATTTAACAATGACAATATACTGACAAAAATTATCACCAATAACTAATAACTGAGGGCACGTGCCGTGTACAAAAACACTATAAACAAAAAAAAAGCAGTACAATATTTAAAGTATCACGTAATATATACATATTTAACCCCAAAAAGAGAGAAAAAAAAAGACAAAATAACACCAAGGCAATATGCTCGCTCTTTAAACAGAGTAAAAAAGTCTAACGGCATCTTCGAACACTGAAACATCGTTGTGACTTACGATATGTTCGGGAAGCTTATTCCAGTCGTTAATTGTATTTGCAAAAAGGGAATACTTGAAAACATCGATTGTGGGCAGATACGACTGCAATGCTTTGGAATGATTTAATCTAGCTGATCTATTGGTTATGTTTCTAAGATAAGGGTCTCGGTTGATCTTTACTTGTTCATGATAAATCAAAAACAAAAACTTTAGGCGTGCAATTTTTCTCCTAACCGCTAAGGGTTCAAGCCCGCAAGCATTCAACATTTCTGTCACAGAGGACGTTGATTTGTAATTTGAAGTTATGAAACGTGCAGCCTTCCTCTGTATTCTCCGTGGGCGTAACGAGCCAAAGAACGAAGCGAAAGAGCACGACGGGAACCGCGCATCGGCCACAAGAGCCAGTCCAGTCCGGTCCAAACCACCCCGTCCAAACCAAAAGACGGCCCCGTGCATAAGGTCGATATATGCTGACGCAATTAAGGAAAAGTGAGACCCAGGATGTGCGGACCAGAGCAAGCGCGACACGTGCGAGCAGTCTCCTGCGTTCGGCAGACCGTTCCATGTTGCACCAGTGTCAAGATTATTTGCTGCAAGTGCCAGCAGCTTAGCGGTCAACGGAGGAAGCCGCACGCCCCCCCCCCCCCCCCCCCGTTATATGCAAGACCGATAACCATTTCTTGTACACAAGATCGCCCATATAATTGACATGGACACCCGTAATAGACGCAGAAAACAAGAGCACGAAATAAAAACAAAAACTTCCATTATCGCCCGAGCATTTTTTGAACTACCATATTACTTTCTTACCCAAAACAAAGAAACAAACAACAAAGTCTTAGACTAGGCGTATGCATAATCAAAGGAGCGCTAGACACTCATTAACTGTCATCGCCTAGAAACATGGGATGGCCGAACGCAAATTAAATTTTGGGTTATACGTTTTAGTACTACGGAAAAGTCGTACCAATTTTTGTGCGCCCTGGAGACGTTTAAGATTCGCTGCGTCCGTGCAGAATTTTTTTATATCACATTTTTATGTTGTACGGCCACACAAATACGCGCTTGTAAGTAATGCAATGACCCGTCCACATTTACGTTGTAATCATGTTGAAACCAATGTAAGAGATACAGGTGTTCGATTTGCTCCTTACTTCGTCAATGAGCGTTACTTTTACTTCGCTGTGATATAAAGTGGAGAAACACCTGATTTGTACTGTCAACAGTGTACGAATGCTTAAACCTGAGTGGGTGCCCTTTTTATTTGGCCCTACCATCCTTCTTGTCGTAATAAAGGGAGAAATAATGACATGTTTTGTTTCGATGTTTGCAGGTCCTGGAAGAAACATCAAAGAATACGTACTTCCTGATGTTTCGCACCCAAATTCTTTATTTTAAGAGATGTCTCCACGCAACAGCAAATATCACAGACAAAACAAACAAAACCGCTAATTACAGAATCACAGTCTACAATCGAAACAAAAAAATATAGTAAGTACTTAACTAATCTTATTGATACTATTATAATATTAATAATAATAATAATAGCAATAACAATAATCAAGAATCAAGAATCGGCTTTATTTGGTGCCCGGAAACGACCCTTCGGTTTTAGTACTAGCACACCCAAACACTTTTTATATTGAACACACATGAAGTGGTGAATGCATAACCCAATAAAAAATTGGGACAAGACATAAACACTTTTATAATGAGGTAAAGTTGCACATCGGCAATACAATCAGGAAGAGGCATGTGTCTAAAGAGACAGCGACACCTTCATATTCAGCGGCGGAATTAAGGAACAGCATCAAAGACAAACTTCCACGAAACTATTATTTGGAGTCATTCAACAGACACAAGTATTAAAAAAAATTCTTTACTTCCACAAAAGATATCCAGGTGACTGGCAAGACCCCCATAGTAGGTCTTTCCCACACGAATCACTGGATTGTGTACACAAAATGAAAGATGAGCCTTTTCACGGCGTTGATGTAAGCTAGACAAATGTAGGGCGCGTATTAAACAATCATTGCGTAACAAACATAAGTTATCGCGAAAGTACAATACCTACGTCTATAGATTGACAGGGATTTATTTTGCACTCGCTCTAGCCTGAAGCAATTAGGGCTGGGAGAGATGCTGTTCCAGACCACCGAGGTGTATTCCAGATGGGATCAAGCCAACGCGGAGTGGAGAACAATGAAAGTTTTCGGGTTCGAAAATACTCTATAGACATCCTACCGGCAACACCTAGAGTAGGCAAGTCGGACATTTTCATGTGATCTATGTGTGCGTCAGAGCGGAGAGAAGAAACAAATATCACACCAACGTCTCCCACTTCGCTTACACGACTTAGAACCTCTGAGTGAATACTGTAGGGAAAACATGTGCTGTGCGTTCTTCTCGTGTAGAACATTACTTTAGTTTTAGCCTTATTTAAGATTAGGTTATTAGTCATACAATCAATTATAGAATGAACAGGCATCCTCCTGAAGCATCCAGCAATCACTGGCACTGCGAATTTCACGAAATATTTTAATATCATATGCATATTGCAAAACTAAACAATTAGAGATAATCTTAGACACGTCATTGACAAAAATAGAAAACAATAGAGGCCCCAGCACCGACCTGTAAGGGGCCCCGGAGGTGACACCATATCTCAAAGAGTATTTGCTGTTTATAAATATTATTCTAATTTCTATAATTAGTATTATTACAAACATAAAGTTATAATTATATTATAAAATATAAATATAATAATATGCATTGCAAGGGCTGACGGCTCCGGCAAAATTGGCTTGTGGGATCCCACCCGGGAAGTCACCAAAAAACAGGCCGGCAATAAAATAAAACAAATCAAATGCCACACGTTAAATAAAGATCAATAGAAACACGGAGTCCAAGGCTGATTCAAAGACATATTCATCATCAACAAAAACATTGAATTCAAGGCTGATTCAAAACCAGAAATCAAACGAACACTCTGTCCATCATAGAGCAGCAGAGCCAATTTTTAGTTTTGTCCTGGAATCTAAAAGGAAGGCAGACGCTGGGAGCTGATCGAAAATATCCGCAACATAATAAGCTCGAGTTCCTATCCCATACCTCGCGAAACAGCGAGGACGCTTAAAACGGACGGCCTAGTCTTAAAGTGCGAGACGGTCCATACGAAACGAGAGTCCTACGTTCAAAAAACTGGAGTACGACTGCTTTCCAGTATAAGGAATAACAATGTGACATTTCGATATCGCTAAGAATATTCGTGCTGTTAAAGAAAGCTGAATGGACCTTTTCCACATACCGACGCCACCAGGCGGTGGCTGCACGAACTAAAAATTGAGGAAGTGACCTACCTGCTCTACCAATCGATAATGGGAGCTACGCTACCAGTTTCTTTGCTCTCTGAGCTGCGGCGCGTGCCCAACGTGACTTTCAAGAGGGGCATCCGTGGCGTCCACGGAAACGTCGTGTTTTTCTTTCCGTCCAATTTCTTTTTTGTGTAACACAATTAGATATGTGCTGCAATTATTTGTTCTACTCGCTGATCCACAGCCTCCTTCCGAATTTCCTCGATTTTTCGTGCCGACTTCCGCCGCTTGGCATCGGGCGCTTGCGCGTGCACAGAACGCTTCTCGGAAAAGGTCCATCACATGGCACACTTTTCAAAATGCATTGGCGAATATTGTTCACCTCTGCATGCCGCAGCCCTGCACCGTGAGTAAACACAGTCACCCCGTACCTGAGTACACATGTATGCCAAATTCACCTTCAAAAGATTACATGCCTAGGCCTATGCTTAACCTTATTGACATTCGTTTCCAAATTATTAAGGGCGCTTTCAATAGTTATATGCCAAAAAACCAACAAAGTGTCGTCAGCGTTTGGATAACACAGGCATCCAGAAATGAGAGAAACGAGATCGTCGACATAAATGTTATACTTCGTCTTACCTTACGTGCATACACAGCCGACGTTACGTGCTGAGGGGACCATCCAGACAGCATTCGAAAAATAGCATCAAGATGTTCGTCGTGTTTATGTACGTGTTCTCTCATTGCTGAACCAATCACAAACAAAAAAGACTCCTTTTGGTCCCAATAGCTCGTAGCGTCGGGTGCGCCCGAACTAGTGCTGAAAAGAATATAAATGAAATGGGCAATTGCGCAGAACACTGTGGAAGCCCCGCTTACAGAAAACAAAGGTTATTCACTTCCTGGCGCACTTGCACACACGGTGATAGTCCATATGACATATCTGACAATAGTGAATAAAACAGTCCCCAAACTCAAACTTATAATTTACGCAGCGGAATACAGTGATTAACGGTATCAAAGGCTTTTGAGACGCGCAAACACAATAATCTTCGACGTCAACTAAGAACAGCAGCGTACCATTCTCAGGTACAAAACCGTAATGCGATTCTGATATCATGGGGTGGTTGTACAAAAATCTATTCATTACTGAAAATAGGTTGCTTTTCTAAAACGTGCCTCAGACAGGCAATAATGATATGGGGCGGTAATTCTCCATCAAAGTTAGTCTACCGCCCCTAAAAATATGTCACTTTCAACACTTTCGTATACTCACCTGCCCTTATAAAGCCTTTAAGCATAAAAAACATGGTTCAAAGACTGCCCTTATAAAGCCGTTAAGCATAAAAAAACATGGTTCAAAGACGCAAGTATGCTTTCGAGAAAACCAACGGTAATTCCATCGGCTTCATGTGATATAGTTCACTTCATACTAAACAGAGTCGACTGTAAACCTTCATCCCGATCATAAAGATAACAGAAGGGCAATTTGCACCTTTCGAGGTTCCTTCCTGAATATGGCCACTGCGCAATTTGTCTGAAGAGGTAGCAAAGAAAAAAAACTAAAAAACGTTATGCTTTTTTAGTTTTTTTACTATTGTCGGCTAACTTCTTGTATATGACGTCGTCAATTGAGTGCTAACTGTGGTGGCCTGTGAGACCTTTGGCAAATGATAAAGTTTATGAAATAATAAAACGACTTTCTGATAACCTTTTTCTTTTTTTTAATAGCGCCGTTTAGCGAAGCGTACGAGGGTATTGACCCTGTTCCTCGCAGCACAAAATTCGCCGAGCTATGTTAAGTTTTTAGCTGCTCGCATACAACGCAGCCAAAACCTTTTTTTATCAGCAATGGCAGCTAAAATATCTGCAATTGACCAAACGCAAATTCACCCTCGTTTTCATATTTTAATTTTATTAAAACCAGTGTGTCGAACCGAAAAAAATACGGGTTCGGTTACGGTTACGGTTCAGGTAAATTTATTTTGTTCCGGTTCAGTTCCGGTTCGATTAATTCGATCCGCGAACCGGTTCGCGAACCGGTTCGGCAAATGACAAATTGCAACATCAAAATAAATTACAAATAAAACATCTGAAATCAGCACATACGAAACGGGATACATCGTAGTGTATGGCTCAAGGATTTCTACCAGGAATGGTTTCTTTATGTGCACTCAAAGGTTACCTCACCGACATTTACGCATTCGGACTTCATCTAATTGGATCCGGCGCAGTAGCTGTAAAATCCGCGACCTCCTTACAAACCCACTTACAAGTAGAACTCGCTAACTATCCCGCCACCTCGGCGTGTAAGCAATTGAAGGAACAGTGGGGAGAAAATACAGCTTTCTTTATTTGAACTAGCCTTCGGTAACTCAAATTAGACCCTTAAAGAAGTTTTCATTAAACAAGATACGGAATATGAAAAACACGTCACCGAACGCAACGCCAGAAGGACGTAATAGGATAAATATTAAAATAGAAGAGTTCACTGTCTCACAAATATGTTAGCTTCTAAGTGCCTATACGAAACCGGATGCATTATTATCAAACTCCACAGCCTTTTCTTTTCTCATTCCGATGGAAGCAAGCTTCAAGAACTCGCGCGTTCTAGAAACGTGTTATGAAATGAGCACACAGCAGCATTTAAGATTTACGAGATTGTAGGAGAATGAAATCCCGTAACGCGATTTTTTTTTTTTTTGCACAGGCTACCATTTCTCTTTTTTCCGTGCAAGCCGCGACCAGCGCGATACTGGTTCCTATGTCAAGATTCATGGATGCAGCGTTTGTCAAGATTCATGGATGCAGCGTTTATATTCCTAAGACTGAGTGGAGAAGAAAAATATGTAAGCGAGGTGTGTGTCGGTTGACGGCACTTAAAAAACAAATGGCATTGATAGCACATTCATTGTCAACAGCGCGTGGCCGAACCGTTTTGACATGAGCCGGTAACCGTTTTTTTTTTCGGTTCAGTTCCTGTTGGGGTTCATCGCGATAACAATATAACGGTTCGGGTTCGGGTTCAGTTCCGGAAAAAATACCGGTTCGGTTCCGGTTTTCGGTTCGGTTCGGTTCCGGTTCGACACACTGATTAAAACGTGGCGCAGTGCTTTTGTGTTCAAAGAGTCGAGGACCGCAGCAAGTGTTGGGTAAACATAAGAGTGGGATACT